CTGCTAACCGTGAGCGCCAGGGCCGGGGCCGGTCCCGAGGGGCTGCGTGGGGCGGGGCCGCGTGCCGAGAGGCGGGGCTCCGGATCGTCCCGAGGGGCCGGCGTGTTGGAGGCGTTTGCTGGGAAGAAACGAGTCCGTGCGTGCTCTGTCTCCCCGACGTCCAGGCGGTGTACACGTTTCCTGGTCAGGTGTGGCACCTGGAGGTCCTGGCCCTGCGCAGGGCGCTCTACGTCTTGTGCGCCCGGAGGGGCATCTATTGCTTGTCTTTGGACCAGACGAGGTGAGGAGGATTTGCTGGGCGGTACCGCTTGGGGCGGGCCTAAAGGGCCGGCCCTGCTCCCTCCAACACTGTATGACCTGCTTGCCTGAGAACTGAGTTCAGAGTGTGCCCTCGCCAGCCCTCGCGCACGGGGATGGTGGGCTCAGAGCCAGCTCAGAAGTCGTGAGAGCCCCCACCTCCAGCACCTGTGTTCTCTGACAGGTTGCTGTTGGCAGACAGCCCTTGGTAAATGGGGCGCAGACTGCCGAGCCTGCAGCCAGGAGTAGGGCCTGCCCCCTTGGCCTTGGTGGTTACCTGACACACCTTTGAGGTGGGTCTCTGGTCCCTGAGCCCCTGGTTAGAGGAGACCACTTCGAGGAGCCAGGCCCTTTGGGGCACCAGGCAGAGCCCAGACACGGCACCTGCTCACCCTGGCCGGGAACATAGAAGGGGAGCGGGTCCGACTCAGAGACGACACCTCGGGGTCTGACGGTTCTACAGCAACGAGGTTCCATCTGAACACCGTTTCTGGAAGACTCGTTCTGCGCGTGTCCCTGGGTGACCAGTGCCAAGCAGAGCAGCCCATGAGACAGTGTGGCTGGTCACCCACTCCCTGCTGAAGGGCCGTGATGGTCACTGAGATGGCTTCCTGCGAAGAGCCACAGCCAGTGTGCTGGGTGGCAGGTTGTCATGGAAACAGTGTGTAAATATCGTGACCAACAGTTCCCTGTGTTCTTCAAGGTCTCCGAGCCAGAATGACGGGGACGATGAGGGCAGTGAACCCCCTTCCCCCGTGATCCCTGTGGACCCAGACGCCTGTGTCCTCCCTGATACCACACTGCGCGCTTTCACTGTGCTGGACACCGTGCTCGTCACGCTGGCGCAAGGCCCCGCCCACTGGAAGGTGCAGCTGTTCAGGTGTCCCTGTCCAGGACAGGACCCCAGGCCCAGAGGCCAGATCGGCGAGGTGGACTTGTCCACCTGTACCCCACTGGGGATTCCTGGGGAGCCCAAAGCCTCTGTCTTTCTCCCGGTGCTGTGCTGTGTGTCACCACCAGGCTCCAGGGTCCCGCATGGCCACCCTCGCAGAACCGGGGGCTTCACACTGGAGGGGAGCCTCTTTGGGCTACTCTTTGGAGCTGATGCCGCCCTCCTGGAGTCGCCTGTGCTGCTGGTTGGGCTCCCCAGCGGCCAGCTCTCCTGCGTAGTCCTGAAGACCCTGGGCACCTCCGGGTTGGCCCCCAGTGACCCGAAGGCCACTGTCAAGATCCTGCATCACCTGGAGGAGCCTGTCATCTTCATCGGGGCCTTGAGGACAGAGCCGCTGGCCGAGGACATGGAGGACATGTACTCCGACTGCCTGGTGGCGCTTGGTCACCACGGCCGGACACTGGCCATCAAGGCCAGGCGGGACGAGGCAGGGAGCCTGGAGCCAGTGCTGCGGGAGTACTGCCTGCCGGGCCCTGTGCTCTGCGCAGCATGTGGCGGGGACGGCCGAGTGTACCACAGCACCCCCTCCAGCCTCTGTGTGCTGGACCTGGCTCAGGCAGGCGCCCCCTGGGACCCCGTGCAGCCCAGCGCTGGTCCAGGGAGCCTGCCCTCTATGCCCTGTCCAGCCAGCCTGGGGGTCTGCAGTGTCCTCACTCTCTCTGTGTCGTCGGGGATGCCTGAAGGTACGAGCCGCTGTTTAAATGTGAAAAGCCGCAGCCTCGGGATGGTCGGAACCCCGTGTTCTGGCTGTCTTCTCCCCACTTCAGCCCTGTGTCCTGTGAGCCTGTCGGGCAGGCCGTTCCTCTCCTGGCCTAGCCCCGTGGTTGACAGTCCACGCTTGGGGTCAGGGAATGCCTCCCTGTGTCCCGTGTGGGTTTGGGAACAGGCGCGCCACTCTGCCTGGATGGGGTGTGCACCTAGTGACCCGGGGCTAAAGCATCTCTCTGTGACAGGGCTGAGGTCACAGGTAGTTCAGGGGAGGTTCAGGGTGCATCAGGGCAAGCTCTTACCTTCCTACCGAAGGCCAGAAAACGCCTCTCCACTCACCACGTGGCCTGCCACCCAGCCTGCTCCGCACCACACCATACTGTACCGGAGCCAGAGCCGACTGTGTGTGCGCCTGCCATGGGGGGTGGAGCCGCCTGCCCCAGGGCCTATTCCTGTGAAGATGGCAGATTGCCCACGGGTCGCTGGAAGGCCTGCTATAGACAGTTCTCAATGCGAAATAAAAGCTCTGAAGGGCAAGACCACCGCCCACTGCAGGAGGCCCTGGGTGCGGGAGGGCCCGGGGGCCAGGGCCGCACCAAGGGCGGCAGGGCTCCCTCTCCCGGCTCAGCCTCCGTGGTGTTGACCTTGGGGGACCAGCAGGTAGAGAAGCCTGTTTACTGGAGGACTTCCTGGCAGCCCAGGGGCGAGGGGCCCGCTCGGCCTCCATTGCTCTCAGGAAGCCAGAGCGGCTCTGCGACGCACACGGGTCCTCGCCGGGCCCCTTGTAGGCCCGTCTCTGCGGTGTGCCACCGCGGTGCCAGCTCCGCTGTGCTCCCGTCTCAGGTGGCACCAAGCTCCTGGCCCTGTCTGCCAAAGGCCGCCTGATGACCTGCAGCCTGGACCTGAGCTCTGAGATGCCTCGCCCCACCGCGGAGACAGCGGCGAACACTGGCCGGAAGGTGAAGGAGCTGCTCGGTGCCATTGGCTCCATCTCTGAGAGGTGAGCCGCGGGCTGCGTCCTCAGGAGGCTGTGCCCCGGGTGGCAGCTTTGGGCCTGGCCAGGCCTGCTGCTTTGCCTCTGGCCCCCAGAGGCAGCCCTAGACATCGAACCGCCTGGTGAAAGGCTGCACGAAAGGCTGGCTGCCTCGGAAGACACCGTCTGCTCAGCCTGCTCATACCTTTTCTGGTGGAGTTGTCAGTCTCCTCAGCTCTTCCCTCTGGGAACGCCCCCCCTCAGAGCCTGCTCCCTCCAAGGGCCCCGCAGCCCTTCCTCTGACCCACGTGGAGATAGTGGGCCCCTCTTTAGCCCTTTTCTGCCCGCCCACAGCCCCCAGTGAGTGTCGGTGGGCTCTAAGCCCCTGTGGGTCAGGATCATTGCTGTGGTGCTGCCCTCTGGGCTGTCATGTTAGCTGCAGAGGAGCAAAGGGACCTTTCCAGAACACAGGGAGCACAGCCGGGAGGCCATCCCAGCACAGGCACCGTCCGGCTCCTGAGGCCTGGTGGGGACAGCAGGCCCTGCCCACCTCACTGGGCTGCACCAGCCCCAGCCCCATCTGTACCCTTCCCTCCTGCTGCCCGGGGGCGGGGTGGGGACAGAGGCTGGGAGCAGCAGGGCAGCCCTGGAGAGCTGAGGGGGCTTCTTCCTCGTTTGGTGCTCGTGGGGGAGCGAAGTTGGAGTCCCTTCTAACCCTGGGAGGAGGGGCGCGGCACCCGCCACCATGGCTCCCTGCTCCTCACTGCGTGCTGTATCTGCTCTTCCCAGAGTGTCCTCTCTGAAGAAAGCGGTCGAGCAGCGGAACAGGGCCCTGACACGCCTCAACGAGGCCGTGCACGTGGGCTGCACCCTGCTGTCCAGCCAGAAGGGCCCTCGGCCCATCTTCTGCAGCGCCACTGCCGCCTGGAGCCGCCGGGGGCTGCGGGATGTGCTGGCCGCCTGCTGCCTGCTGGAGAACCGCAGCGCCTTCAGCCTGGGCCCAGGCTGGGCCTTGTGCGTGCAGTTGCTCCCCAGCTCCCCTGCCTCAGACCGGGACTCGGCTGGCTCAGCTGTGACCTACACCCTCCCTGTGGGCCAGCTCGGCCCCGGTGGTCGGCGGGAGGTGATGCTGCCCCTGGGCCCCAGCGAGGATGGCGTGCTCGACCTGCCCGTGACCGTGTCCTGCCTGCTCTTCTACAGCCTCGGGGAGGTCGTGGGTGGGGCCCCGGCCCCCTCAGGCTCTTTCAGGGATCCCTCCTTGGATGGGGGTTCCTCCGACATCGCGCCCGAGCAGGAGGGCGTTTGCCTGCCCCTGGGCGAGCACACGGTGGACCTGCTGCAGGCGCTGCGCTTCCCCGGCCTGGCCACGCCCTGCACGCCCGGTCCCGGCCCTGGCCCTGGCCCCAGCCCCTGCGGCGACCCCGTGGACACCTTCCTAGCAGCTCAGTGCAAGCTGGGCAGCGAGCCAGCAGGACCCGCGTCCCTACGGGCCAAGTACTTGCCCCCGTTGGCGGCTGCCATCCGGGTGTCAGCAGAGCTGCTCCGAGCTGCCTTGGGGGACAGTCACTCAGGTGGGCGGTGCTGGCTGGCTTCGCTCTGGCCTTGGGGCCCCGAGGCTTGCGGATGTGGGGAGCTTTCTCCCAGGACTGGCCCGGGCTCACGGCTGCACCTCTCCCTGCAGGCACGACCCTGTGCTGTGCCACTCTGCAGTGGCTCCTCGCCGAGAATGCTATCGTAGATGTCGTGAGGGCTCGAGCGCTGTCTTCTGTCCAGGGAGTGGCCCCCGATGGCGCCGACATCCACCTCATGGTGCACGAGGTGAGGAGGGGTCAGCCGTGCCGTCTGCAGGGAGACCAGACTCGACGCAGCGGTTCTCAGAGTGGGGACCCCGAGCCAGCGTTGTCTGGGTGGCTCCAGAGGCGTCCGGGTCTTGGGCCACCCTCCAAAGGGTTAGGACACACGCCCAGTCTGAGGCATGGCTGTCTTGGGGCCGCAGCTCAGCTCCCCGTGAGGACCGCCAACGCCACACTGTGCACACGTGGGCCCTGGCCCAGCGCGCCGCAGGAACTGGCAGCTGGGCCCCCGCTGCTGTGCGTTGGTTGGTGTCCCCAGGAGCAGCACAGACTGCACCAGCGCCAGCCACTCACCCCTACACCACCGGGGGTCACCGGGCTGACATCGCAGCCAGCCCCGCCCTCTCGCACACACATCTTCCTCTGTGACCCTTCTGGCGGCCGGCCCTGGTCGCCACCAGATGAGCACACCCTCCTGTTCCGGTGCTGGCGACCCCGAAGGTGGTGAGTAGAGGCTGCTGTGGCCTCTGCCTACTGCATAGCTCTTAATGATCAGGTCAAGGTCAGGCCAGTGTCTTGGTTGGGGTATCCTTGGACCCTGATTCTGGGCCTGGGTAGCCCCACACGTGTTGGAAGGGGGCTGAGTTCTGAGCCCTGTGGGTGTCCAGCACGTCCCACAGGTGCCAGAAGGAAGAGCCGCTGGTGACAGCGTCCTTCCCAGCGTGTGCAGGCCCCCAGAGTCTTGCTGTGTGTGGAGAGTGAGCCTGTCGCCTGGTCCTCAGCCTGTCCTTGCCAGGCTCATGTTCAGCTCAGTCCAGTCAAGGCCTCCGAGGGCAGTTGGCTGACCTCTAACCTCAACCATCCAGCCCTTCCGTTTTCTCTCCTGACCGGGGTGGTCAGTGCGGGCTGTGGTGGCCTTGGTCTGGGGTGGGCGTCGTGGGTCGGGCTCCCCCTGGATGAGTGGGCAGGTTTGCGGCTGGTCAGCTGGCTGCTTTGCCAGGTGGGGTTGGCGCTGGGCGGGGAGACCGAGTCCAGGCACCCGTTTGCACTGAGCTCTGCCTGTGATGGCGTAGAGGGGCGGCCTGGGGCAGGGAGCTGGGGCCTCGAGGTGAGGTGGGCATGGGTGGGCACGCGTCTCTTTGGTGTTGCAGGTGGCTGTGACTGACCTATGCCCGGCGGGGCCCATCTCAGCCGTGGAGATCCAAGTGGAGAGCCCCTCTCTGGCCAGCACATGTGGGGTCCACCATGCTGTCATCAGACGTGTACAGGTGTGTCACCCATCGTGGGCCTGCTAGGGAGTCTCCACGGGGTGGTAGGGGTAGGACCTTGGAGGCCTGTGGCTTCGTGTGTGGGGGCTGCAAGCGAGTTGGAGTGGGTGCTGCTCACCCTCCCGACAGCACCCCAGCAGGCGCCCGGAGCCCTCATGGCCGACAGGTTAAAGAGAGATGTTCCCACTTACCAGCCACCACGGTCATCAGGCGGTTTCTGCACTCACGTGGCTAGGCAGAGGCCACGTGGAGAGGCCGTGTCCTGGGGTCGGGCCCTGGGCTCAGGGCCCGGGTTGTGTGTGGGTCGAGGTGTTGGCTTGTGTGGGCCTCCATGTCCTGGGGTCAGGCCCTGGACTCAGGTCCCGGGTTGTGTGTGGGTCGAGGTGTCGGCTTGTGTGGGCCTCCATGTATTCCCCTAGAAAGTAGGAGCTGGCGGCAGCCTCCCATGCCGCCCGGGGCCTCTGCCACCTGGCACGGGGCCACGCCTCCTAGATCTGGGGAGGTTGCCACATTCCAGAAAGCAAGTCTGTCAGCCAGTGTCCTCGGCTGGGTGCAGCCCGCCCCCTCCTGCACAGGGGAGTCTGCAGTGGCAGCTGTCAACCGTCTTTGACCATTTTTCTTAAGTGCGATCTGTGTGCCAGCCTCACCTGAGAACTCGTCAGTGCACGTCCCAGCCCCAAGGCTCAGAGAAGCCGCAGTCCGCGCTTCGACCAGGGTCTGGGGGCCACTGTTCTGGACCCCCGGGAGCACCCAGGTGAGCCGGACGCCCACACCAGCCCACGCTGGCAGGCACCACTCGCGAGCAGACTGGCGCCTCGTCACTGACTCGTGCAGCGCGGCGGCACTGACTGCAACCGGCCATGACTGCCGTGGTCACCTCGTACTGTCACGATGGCCCGCGTGGCGGGCGTCCTGGCCCTGCGCCCAGGCTCAGGAATTTAGTCCTGACGCAGGCCATCAGGGTGATCTCCAGGGCAGTGGTGACACCTGTCTTCTGACCTTTCCCGTTCCGTGCCCAGAACGGCCCCGTTCCCGCATTTCTCAGCCCAGAGAAGCCAGGCGGAGCCTCATCGCCTACTCACTGGGGCCGATGGTGCAGGGCCGTTCCCATGCCCTGTGGTGCACGGTGGCCCCGAGGCAGGCAAGCACCCGTTCTCCAACACCTGGGCCAGCTCCTCCTGCTGCCCCCGGCGGCCAGTGGGGGGGCCTCACTGTGTAGACTCTTCTGGTATTTGGGTCTGAGCCCAGGGCCAGTGGGGCCTCCTCTAGAAAGTGGGGCAGGAGCAGCCCCACGTTGGGCTGAGAGTGCTGGGGCCGAGGGTGGGCGGGGGAAGAGCCCAGGTCACACTGGGTGGTGGGCACCTGGTGGTGTGCACCCAAGGGCCCGGGAAGAGATGGGGGCAGGGAAGGGGCTCCTCCAGCCTGTCATTCCCACAGAGGATGGTGACTGAGCAGGCTGCCCAGGGCTCCAGCCCACCTGACCTTCGCGTACAGTGTCTCCACCAGATCCAGGCCAGCCACGAGGTGAGGCCCCTCGGGGTCCCGTCCCCAAGCCTCCCACCAGCCCCACCCACCCCGGCGGCGAGGACCGCCTCTGGCCTGCTCTGTCTCTGGCTCCTTTCCTGTCTGGTGAGCAGGACCTGCCTGTCACTTGGTTGAGGGAATGACCTCCATTTCAGCCTATTTCCTGTCTTGAGGCCGTCGGCGGCCAGGCAGGGTGTCCCATGCTTTAAGGCCAGAGACAAGTGTTTCTTGGACTGCCTCTCAGGTCTCCAGGAGGATTAGTGTGTGATGGGTGTCCCCCAGAGGGGCTTGGTGACGTGCCCGGTGGTGGGGGCGGGCACCTGACCATTGCCGTTCGCCCCCACCTTCAGACTCTGCTGCGGGAGGTGCAGACCCTGCGTGATCAGCTGAGCACGGAGGACGAGGCCAGCTCCTGTGCCACCGCCGAGAGGCTTCTGCAGGTGTACAAGCAGCTTCGCAGCCCCGGCCTCCTCCTGCTGTGACACCAGGTGGGCCCAACTCTGTCGACACAGTGCCTTTTTGATTTTGTGGATGGGACCCTGGGACACAAAAGGCACTAACAGCTCCTGAGCAGGGAGGCAGGTGGCGGCTGTGGGAGGTGTGGGGTGAGCCTGGCTGCCGCACAGCAGAATGCGGGGCGTGGGCCGCGCTCGGGGTTGGTCTGCTCAGGGGGAATGGACGGTAAAGCATGTTGTTTCAGGGTAGCCCCATTGGTGCTGGGCATCGCCGCTGTGCCCATCCCGTGCATGGTCTCCACCCAAGTCACACCCTGGCCTTCCTCCGACAGCGGCCCACGGCCTCTGCGCTGGACCTGCCGCCGCCAGGCAGCCCCTCGCCCAAGCGTTACAGTCGGATCCATGGCGTCCGTTTCACTCAGAAGCCCTGCTCAGGACACCGTCCAGACCCCAGAGTGGGGACCATGGGGAGACAGCTCAGGGCCAGGACTCGGGTGGGTTTGCACGTGGCTGTCACTGGCCCTGGACACAGCAGCCCCGCCGCCCCATCCTGGGTGACTGGGCCTCTTCACACTGGGGGTCACCAGACGGGAGGTTGCTCCCCGTGAGCACGAAGCCTCGGGGGGTGCCCCTGGGGTGGCCTGTGGTTGGGGCTGCAGCGGCGCCGTGCTGTGCATTTCCAGGGCCCCTGGGTGGGTGGCCCTGGCTTGGCGCTGCCGTCGGCAGGGTTTGGGGACGTGGCTCTTGTGGGCATCACGTGCTCTCGGCGGGAGCTGTGAGGGCTCTGCTGCCACAACAACTGACCGTTCCTGTTGAGCTGCCGCCACCTCTGCTGGTTTTGTCATCCCTGGGCCTGCCCCAGCTCTGCACCTTGCCGCGAGTGGCAGCTGCTGCACTGCCCTCCTCAGGGTCCCAGGGCGGTGGGGGGACCCGAGCACTGGGGTGAAGTTCCTGCAGCTCCCATCTGGCCATTCTGGTCAGACTCACTCTGGGAGGACTAAGGCCACCTCGTCACCCTCCGTGAAGGAAAAGGGCCAACATGGTTCCCTGAGGCGGGGTCTGGGAGGGAGGGAGGACGGGCAGGGACCAGCCAGCCCAGGCCTGCCTCAGTGTTTGTCGGGCACAGGCGTGACAGCGACCTCCTTCAGGGCGAGCAGATGGCTCACCTCCAGCCCCTGCTGGCGCTGGTCGCCCTCACGCAGCCCAGAGGGATGCCGTGGCCCAGCCAGGCCTGGGAGGGGTCTGTGCCCTCTCAGCAGCCCCGTCCCCTGCTACTCCTGAGGGTCACCCTTCCGTCACCTGTCACCTGAGTGCCATGGGGGAGGATGGGGTGGCCAGCCCACAAGGACCCTGGAACAGTCTGTCCCTCTGTGAGTGGTAGAGGACAGCACTTGGGGGACCCGTGTCTGCCCGCCATGGAAAAGGGTGACACATCCAGACCTTGCCCCCACGTCTCCCCACTCACCAGCTGCCCAGAGCCCAGGGCTGACAGATCTGGGCCTTTGATCACCTGTGGGGTCAGCTACCCAGACCCCGGCCAGATGCCAGTGGGTCAGGGGAGATGGGGGCTGCCATCTGCCCACCTGCCAGGCCACCCACCAGCATCTTGTCCACCCCTGTGAGTCTCAGCCGTGCAGGGGCATCGGTGTGGGGTGTGGAGAGAGCAGCACCCCAAGAAACCGGGGGTTGCTTGGCCATCCCCAGTTCCCACTGTGTAGCTCCCAACACAGGCGGCGAAGGCCCCAGAGCTGAGAGCTCTCGTAGCCAGCGTGTCACCTCTGCTGGTGGTTCTCACGGAAAACCCTTTCGGGGTGTCAGCACAGGCCTGCCTGGGGGTCTGCAGAAGCAGTGGAAGGACCGTCCATCCTGCCTATGGTGTGGGCACGTGCCAGACTCTGCCGACGGGCACAGGCTAAGGACGCACATGGTCATCTCCAGAAAAGGAGAAAAACGACACATACGGCTAAAAATCCAAGTGGAGGTGACATGGAGTAATGGAGGGGAAACGTGATAAATCTGGGAGGAGGCAGGAAAGGAGGAACAGACCAAACAGGACAAGTAGGACGCAAGCTGCAAGGTGACACACCTCAACCCAGCTGTGACACATAGTGACTTGGGTGAACACAGAAAACCTGACTGCAGTCAGGGAAGCGCCTGGGGGCTTGTGGCCAGGGGAAGGTGACAATCCACAGTCAGCTGCTCAGGGAGCCACCGGGATCACAAATGGGACCCAGGAGCCCTCGCCTGCTCAGGTGCCCCCTCCCAGCATACCCTTGGCCATTCAGAGTGTGGCCTCACCACGGAGTGGGGATCACACTAAATACTAGGTGCCCCTTTGCAGACCCCTGTTGTGTGAGGCCCCAGGCTGGCCACCACGGTGACATCCCCATACACAGCCCCAATCCTCAGGCACAGTGTGTCCCTCCACCCAATTCCAGCCTTTGTTCCGAACCCCAGAGCGCCAGTGTGTCCTTACTGCCATCCCAGCGGGCCCCTTCAGAGGACCCCAGGCACAGTGCCCTGCCCCGTCTCCAGCGGCTGCCCCCGGCTGTGTGGACACCAATCTGAGTGCCAGACCAAGCGCACTGCCTGAGGTCAGCAAAAGGGGAGAGCCCCTGATGCCCCGTGGGGCTGGGAACCCGGGCAGTGGCACAGGGTTACTTGCCTGACGCTGTCTAGCAGGCGGAGGGCGCCCTGGCAAGTGGGCCCTGGACTCACCCAGCCCAGACGCCACCAGGGGGCAGCACAGGCTGCAGCTCAGGGCAGCTTCCCGTCCCCTCCACGCCTGCTGGGTTCCACTGTTTGTGCCTCATGGGGTTAACCTGCGCCTGCCTCACGTGCTGGCCCACACGACCCCTGGCCTTTCTTTGTCCCTAGGGTGCGGGGAGGGCAGGGAGGCCAGGAGCGAGCCTGGGGGCCCTGGACAGGGGCTGCAGGGAGGCTCTCCTAGCAGGCCCTCCCTATCCCCGGGACGCCCCTCAGCCCCTCGCTCTGTTCTCCACCCCAGCGGTGCCATCTGGTCTCCCCAGAGCCCACTCTGCACCCCCCACCGTCCTTTATCAAAGTGCCCCATCCCCACTGACCCCTCGGGCTGCTGGTGGGACTACTGGATCGGTCTCGCCCTCTGGGCACCAGGCCTCTGCTCAGGCTGTCTCCCACCGACGCCCCCCATCGCCCATCCTCAGGGGCCTGACTAATCCCTGGGGGCATGACTTCCACCCCATCCCCACCGCGGAGGGCCCAGGTCACCCAGCCCATCTAAGAGATAGGCTGGGTGGGGCCCTTGTGGGCTGGGGGTTCTGGGTGCGGGCTGATGTGGGGAGACACAAGAGTGAGCCGTGGGCCTTGTCCTGTCAACCACCCTGGTCACAGGGTGCCCGGCCTGCTTGAGACAAGGCAAGGGAGGGTCTCTGTGCACGGGATGGTGGGGGCATGGCCTGAGAGCCCTCTCCTGGGCTGGGTGGTGCTGGGTGGCAGTGAGGCAGGTGCAGGAGCCGAGAAGGCCCCTCTCTCTGTGGGTGGCCATCCACCACCCAGTGTGAGAGTGTGGGGGCCGCTTGGGGGAGTTCCTAAGACCTGGCCCTGACGGGGGCAGTGACGCTCCATGGAGGCACGCTGACCCCAGAGACCCTCTAAGTGGCCTGCCTTGCCGGCCTCCGAGCTCCCCACCCAGACACCACCAGCTGGGTGGAGAAGGGGTCTTCTGGGGGGTGGGGGCAGAACGAGAGGAGCCCCAGGGCTGTGGTCGTGCGGGAGGGAGTGGGTCGTTAATCTGTGGGATCCTCCCAGACAAGCCCCAGACCCTGGGTTTCGCGCGCAGGAACCGCGGGGCGGCCCAGACAGGGCTGCAGCGGGAGAGGACGGTGGGGCGTCCTGGGCCCCGCGCCGTCAACGAGGCCCGCACCCG